GGGAGGGGGGGGGGGGGGAAGGGGGCAAAAGGCTTCCCCTGTATTTTTATATTAAGAGCAGTCCTAAACAGAACAGCTAATCTAAGGAATAGCATTTCCATTTAAAATTCATCAGAGCTTACACAAAAAGGAGCTCTACTGTCATCACTGATACCACTGAGAAGAAAAGCGTGTGCTGAAGCTCAATGACACTATTAGAACTGTTAGAATAACCTTCCAGAACAGGAAATTCTCAGCCACTTACCATCCAAGTTAGTGGGGTGGCCAGAAAGTAAATATCCAATTCATATTTAATGCCCATCATGTCCAGCAGCAGCAAAGAGGCTCAAATGCGTCAAGGTTGTAAGTAGAGGTACCAAGTCTTCCCCATCTGTTACCTTCTCTTCCTTGTTTTCCACCAGAAAAGGACAACTAATGCTAACCAAGTAGCCCATCTGCTCTTATCTACTGGTAACTCCTAGCTGTCTATAGTAGCCTCCTTCCAGATGGTCAGGCCAGCTAAAGATGCTAGCTTTGGTGTACCTTAGAGAGTTAACAACCTGATTAATATCTCTAATGTGCTGGAATGATTTCTTCAGATTTTTACAGGACAAATTCACCATTTATTTCAGTGAGCTTAATCCAGTCATAAGAGGCATTCGTACTCTTAACAATACTTCCTGAGACAGACATTGGATAAGCCAATTTACTCTGAAGGGCAAGAGTTTTAATATTTCCTTTTGCTCAGGAAAAGCCCTCTGATCTAATTCTCCACTGTCCCTACTGAAGCTCCTGTGTTAGAATAGGTTTCTGGCCAACGAAACCGGAAATCTGAGGAGACAGATTTACTCATTCCTTGAATGAGTTTTCTTCTGTGAGTTTTACAGCACAGCTACACCTCCTTCGCAGCGGCTGGTGATCATGTTGGCAATTTCAGTCCAACTGTCCATATGAGGGTTATAAACTTCAACAGAGTCAGAGGTTACCGGAGCAGCAAAATCATGACTGGGAGCTCGGCCTCCCGAGGCATAAAGAAATCCATTCACAGCCACAACACAAACACCAGCTCTTGGTATCTTCATTGATGCAACTTCAACCCACTTTTCCTAATGAGAAGGTGAAAGAGTCAACAAGTAGTTTTAGGGTAAGCCCTGATTCTGATAAAAGTAACTTTTAAAGCTTGAAGACTGAAACATATACAAAGAACACTACACATACACTTCACAGGCTCAAACATGGTATGTGTACAGTATCAAGAGGATATCAAGACTGAAATGACAACACTTTCAAAAGTGGTCCAAATCATGCTAGTCACTAAAGGACAGATCACATACTGTCTGTACACAACAACCCTCCCTTTCTTCAGTCACTGCAAGATGCAGTCTGTCTCCAGAACAGAGAATGGTACAGAGTTTGAGGTGGGAAATAAGGAAAATTTGATTAAATTCCAAATGTGAAACAGAATGGCACACTGGATTGTGTTCTGCTTTTAACACTAGCAACTGTTCAAAGGGCATCATATAAACATGAGCAATAATAGTCAGGAATAATTTCCTATCTTATTCAAAAGTTTAAGTGTTCAAAGAGATTTTTCTGGTCATGCTGAAACACCACTACATTTTGATGCAGAAGAAAGATCCTCAACTTCTGCAACAAAGGGCAACTCTTACTTTTTCCAGGGAGTTTTTTTCTCTCTAGTCAGATTATTGACCATTCTATCACAGAGGGGGAATCTATCCCCCCATCTTAACCCTAACAAGTATTTACCAAACTACAGTATATTCATGCATCACCAGTATTGGTTAGCTTTCAGTTTCCCAAAAGCATGCATACAATCTTCATAAACACTAAGTCAGATAGCAAGATTCTACAGACTGGTTAGGACAGAAAGACCCTGAGGTCACTGAAGCTTTGTTTCACTCAGATTACCAGCCAGTAGTGAAAAGGAAATGGAATTCCCGATTTTTTTCTTTTTAAAGAAAAGAAGCAGGCTACCTCTATAGCATCTTACACAAAATTGATGCAATCTACATTTATGAAAGAAAGGGGCACTACCACACCTCTTCAAAGGAGTATCTTTCTACAGTAGCAAGTGCATCCTGAGATTCATTCCAGCCTCCCACAGCATAGATACAATCGTTGAGAGCAGCTACACCAAGATACGCTCTTCGGGTGCCCATTGGAGCGAGCTCAGACCAGCGCTTAGATATTGGGTCGTAGACTTCAACAGAACGTAGCTCTACTCCTTCATTGCTGATACCACCAACAACATAAATCAAACCTGTAGAAACAGAGTTTTTTCTCTGTTAGGTTTCATAATACAAAAGTTTGAAAGACAGATAATGTTTGTCACAATACAAATTTCAGCCTGACATTAAGATGGTTTAAGAATGCCAGACAGAAGTTCTCCATTTGTCCAGTAGTAGTATAGATAAAGCTTTCAAATGAGTAACTTGAGGCTCAAGCACTAGAAGCTCTGATGAAAGCAATAATTAATCAAGTGCGGGGAGAGAATTCAGAGGGCTGCAAATGCTGACCAGGCCTGGATCAAATGCTTAATAAGCACATTTATAAATCAAGTCTTTAGACATGTCTGTCTTAAAATAACCTGTGGCAACTCTTCAGATTGTCACAAAGACACACACAAACCCAAACATGGGAGGTAAATGAAAGCAGTATCAGGAAGGACAATCAACTATTAAAGACTAGCTGGATAACCATACTGGCAGCCACGTAAAAACGGTTTTCATGAGTCAAAAGGCAGAAGACAGAGAACTTTATAATCTTTGAGTTCTGTAGAATTAAAAATATGGTACTAAAAGGACAAATAAGTGAGGCACAAGCTTGTGCAACTGACAGCACAGTACAAGACAAAGGTAAAAATTCATGACCGAAACATAAAGCTTCAAAATCCAATGGCTCTTGGAACTGTTTATGGATACAAACTTAACAATATTCACCTTGCATTTCACAACACCCAAAGCAGTAACGGGGCACAGCCATGCTTCCCACCACATCCCAACTATTTTCTTCAGGATCAAATCTTTCAATTGTGTTGCCGATCTCTGCTCCAACCCAACCTCCTGCAAATAACAGCATACACAGGAAAGAATTTAATGGCATGAAGCTGTGTGTTAGCTGCATTTTTAGACATATAGTGCACTGTTCCAGGACAGACTAATTCTGAAACCAGCATGTAATCCACAATGGAAATAAGTTATAACTGAACAATAACTAATCCACAAAGATCTGGTATACTAATGCTCATGTAAACAGCTGTTTTTCAAAACTTAAGTTTGCAAATTTGCAACACCAAGATGTAATATTTAAGATCAAATCAATTTACAAGTTCCGTGAATTAATACCTTTAAAATTAACTTACCCAAAGCATAGATAGCACCATAGCATGTGCATACTCCCAGTCCACAACGGGGATGGTTCATGGAAGCGACAGTGGTCCACTGCTTAGTAACAGGATCATAACATTCAGTACAGTCAAAAATCATCGAGTCCTTCTCACCTGTATAGTAAGAGCAAGAACCGAGACAGGGGAAACACAGTGTTTTGCACTGCAGATACAGAAGCATTCTTCAACTCCTTCCAGGACAGACAACATTTGAATACAAGATCTTTCTTTCAGCTAGCCAAACGGCCAAAGTAGCAAAAGCTTCATTTATACCTAGAACTGAATCATCACTAGGAACAGCTTTCATCAACAGTTCCCTGAAACACTACTGAAAACATCAGAGGGGTGAACAACCACAGTGCTACACACTTTTTACTCCGCAGCACAACTGACAGGGTTTTCAAGACCAAAGAATGTGTTCTGCGGTGACAAAAACAGTATACGTATGCATTCTTTAATGATGGGCTGGTAGAGCTACTCATCACATCCTTGTGCAAACATATATAACAAGCCTTTTCAGGTAGGCAGACCACAAGTGGTCTGTCCTGTACTACTGCCTTTTATGCTACGGGCTTCTGCTAGACTACGAGTGAGAAAAGAAATGCTATTAGTGGTGGTACACAAAGTCTGCAGTATATCCAGCATCTCTTAGTATATCTGCACATGTCCATATGCTTACCTGTGAGTTGCTATACCATGAGGGGAGAGCAGCTTAGTAAAAAATGGCCAACACAGGAGCCCAAACAGGCATTCACAGAGCAGTGATGGTAGAAAACCAAGGAACTCCAATCCAATTGTTATTATATCTAAAAGTTGTATTATCTACTGTTGGGTTCCTCAGAACCACTTACAGGAAGAATAATTTTAAAAATCTCCATCCATAAGTTCTCTAATATCCATGTAACAAAGAAAGCATATTTCAGCTGTTACCTCCAATGGCATAGACCATTCCTCCCACCACAGCCACACCCAGCCCACTCCGGGCCTGGTGGAGAGAGGACACTGTGGTCCAGTAGTGGCTGAAGGTGTCAAATCGCTCCACACAGCTGAGGGCTCTACTGTCACTCCAGCGTCCCCCTTGCAGTCGGGTGTACCCACCTGGAAAGTAAGTGGAAAGATCATGGCTGAGTAACAGATTCCTGCTCATCCCCATGCTCCTAAATCTAAACCATAGAAAAAAATGACAGTTACAGCCATTAGCCACTTTTAGAAGGAACTGGACTTTTCCAAGAAGCACTGTTTCTCCAGCACACAAAGAATGGTTACCTTGAAGGTCACGTAACTTGTACCTGAGCTGACTACTTCACCACAACACTATAAACATTACTGTTCATGTTCTCAGTAAAATGCAGAGACCAGCCAACATCCTTTGGTGTTACTTCCCACAGGGTGAAATAAGAGCATTCCCTTCCAATACAAAGCTCCAGCTTTGCTGAAAACTTGCAATTTCAAGTATTGCATCACATGAACCAAAGTATTCTGGACAGAGAAGACTTCAACTTTCAGGAGAACAAGGAGTGCAGTGAATTTGCATATACCATTCCAGCAGCGAACCATGGGCAAATCCTCTGCTGATTTGTAGCTTTCCACCCAAGGCAAATAATTTCTAGAAGGCAAATCTAGGCTTTGAATGCCATGTTGTAATGGCGTGAAATGTGAATGCTACCCTTCTGTGCAATTCTAAGGAGAAAGCAGCTAACATGGTAACTCAGCCAGATGAAATATTTTGCTATTTTTATATCTTTTGATTAAAAAAAAAATCCAGTACCCCTTTTGGTACTGTAATATGAGATACTACTTCATCATTTGTTTTACAAGGTTCAAACAGCCACATTCTAACCTACTGCATAAAGGTACTTCCTGGCTTTCCTCCGGGGACGACCTTTAGAAGCTTGCAGAAAACTGCTGACCTTGTTCTCTTTGGGAGATTTACAGACTTCACAATATTCTTTCAACAGAGTTTGCAGGGCCACCCGAAGGCTGAAATCTGGAATACCTTGAGGAAAAAAGCAGATGAAAAAAGATGTAGTGAAAAATTACAGACAATAAGTAATTCAGCTGTAGAAAAGTTACTAGCGTCTCCTAAAACAGCAGGCAAATCAAGATTGCCTACTTTTATACGACTTTTTCAAAAGCATGTTTTTAAAGTAAGCTGTGCTCATTTGTTAAAAAGTAGAATTTGTTTGGATAGAGTAAATCTTTTCAGTCATCGCGCTATTAATTTTAAAAAATCCATAAAAATCCAGTAACTCTTAACAACCCATGGTTTGCTCAAATCCAAACATCTGAAATTGTGTCTTCCCTTCTTTCACTTACTTTCTATGTATTTTAGTAGCCTTTGTGCTGGCAGCAGAGGGAATCGAACAGGCTCCAGTACTTCTACGACGTATTTCTTTCTTTTTCCCACATCCTTCAAAATCCATTGCATTGCCGCTATGAAAACCTGGTACTCGTCCTCGATGCTCAGGTCCTCACTTCGCAAGATCTTAATCAGCTGCTCTTTAGTCAGCGCCAGGAACTCCTCCCCGCTCTGCACCTCCAGGAAGTGCGCGTGGATGTAGCTCTCGGTGAACTCCATCAAGTCGTGACAGGCGATCTGCTCGGAGAACTGGAAGAGGCCGATGCAGTTCAGCGGGTCGATCTGCCCCTTCAGGAACTCGCAGCAGAGCTCCACCACCTCGGTGAGCTGCAGCATGTCGGCGGCGACGATCAGCTCCTGAACGTTGTGCTCCCCGATGCTCACCACCCCTGCGGGCACGCACACG